CCATGGAAGAGGCCTGCCTAGACATATCAGTAGATGCATGCCAGGGGTGGATCAGGCATGCAAGAGGATTTTAACCCCGCTGCCTGGCTGGGGCCAATATAGCCTGTGATGTGGATGAGATTCTCTGGCCTGACCCAGACCAAAGACAAGATGCTGAGGTGGGATAATGTTTCTGGTGTGTGTTGTACTGTATAGTACATGAATGACAATGTGCCACTGTACATACATTGGTTGCGTCTATTGTGTTTATCATGTGACAAGGGTTTTGAAGGGGAGAACCATAAGCAACCTATCTGTTTTGGAACTATTGTTTTGAATTAATTGTACCAGTGTGCAAAACTCTGTTGTAGTGTGTGTGTTTTTGAGGGCTTGTGTTTGATGTCTGAGGGCAAAGTTTGGTTTTTCAGCAGGAGTGAATAGTTTTGGGTGTAGAGCTTCATTTTGACCTGGAAATAGGATGTTTGGGAAATTAAGTGAGATGTTATGGATTTGTGTTTACTGTTGTGAGGATATGAGGCGTAGTTTCAAGAAATGGGTTTTAGCAATCGAGAAAAACTGTAATGTTCAAATGTGTTTGATGATCTGACACATGTAAGTGTGACAAATATGCAAAAAAAAACCAACAAAAGTACAAAATCAGGAAGTGTTAGGTTCATTTTATGAGAGAGTAAAGACAAATATGCTCAAAGGGCATTTTCTTAAATTTATAAAGCAGTTGAAGGTTCAAGTTTAAAAAAAGGCTGTGTGTCTCTCTGCTCGCTCCGGAGACACCCAGACAGTAAACGCATTTTATTATGTACGTCAAACAGGACAGTTTAGGGTGGCCTTAGGTCCGATGTGGGCTCAGGTTTCTTCTTCTGCAGCTTTCTGGCCACTTCACCCATCACCATGGCAACTACCTATTACCTTGCAGTGTAGGGTTAAAAAGGAGGTATAGTGCGTATAAGAGCAGATTTGTGACTGAGGCCACATTCCTGTGATGGGTTTTAGTCTGTGTCTGTTAGTATCAGGGTAACAGTCTACTTCCTTCTCTACAATACACTGTGAGCAGTAAAAACACAAATTTGTGATGCCAATTATGAGATATTAGCCTTACAGATAAAGATAAATCCCAACAGAAGGGGACAAACACAAAAAGCTGAAAGGGTTTAAATATATCAGAGACCCTTACAGGTGTGAGCGAAGCACAGGCCAGAAGACCAATGTCCAGAGTAAACAGCAGAGTACTTAATAATTCCAGGAGAGGAAGATTTTGAAAATCTGGATCTCACACTCTGCAGTGTGACAGAAGCTGACAGCACGGTCGCCGTCGCGGACGTCCTTGAAGGCCGAAAACCTGTTTGGCTTGTAGAGCAGCTTCTGTAAACTGTCAGAGAGAGAGGGAGCTACGCGTTGATACCGCCTGACCATGCGTGACGCTTTTACTGTTCATATTGCCAAGGGGAGAATAATTGGGCAAAGTTGTCATGTAAATTTCCTCAGGCCACAGAATTTAAGGTGGGATCTGTGCATTCATGCAGATGACAAGTTGAGCTCCCGGTTTCTCCGGACTCTCTCTGTATAATCTGAAGGAGAAAGAGGCGACGCTGGAAAACTGGCTGGAGAAACGGGAAGGTGACAGGAATTAAAGAGCCACATGTTCAGCTGAAAGAAAACAACAAACAGACGGCTTTACAGGAGCTGCAGCTCGGAGACGGGCATGTCGAAGCAAATCCGTGTTCAGCCAATAAAAATCAGACGTGTCCCGAAGTCTGCGACAGCCTGACAGGCAGAACAGAGGCAAATGTACCCGGAGAGGAAAAGATGAAGGGCTTGTTCAATTAGATATGCGACATAAATGAAAGGGAATAATTAGGCAATCATCAAAAGGGACACAATTTGTTAAAATTTTCGACACTAATGAAAAAAAGGGTGATTGAAGCTGATTGTTTTGCAAACCATGGAAGCAGTGAGACACAGGGAGATGAGAAGAAAATGGGAAATGGAAATGTTTGTGAGGCTCAGATGGAGGCTGGCGTGTTGCTGTTGATAATTCACTCTGTCAGAACGCTCCAGTCCACAAGAGGCTGATTTCTGAAAGTGAAACTGCTTCAAAGAGTCGTGATTTTTTTTTTCTTCTCTTAAGCGCTCCTTGGAGACGACGGCCTGCACTGCATTAGCAAACCAAAGAGGTGCAGCTGTCTGATTCTTCAACATAAATACCTGTTTGAGTCTCCGAGGATTAATCTGCTTTATTTCAACATACTTCTGATACCTTGTTATTAACTCAGTGAGTACAGGGTTATTATTGCGGAGAGAAAGGGTGGAGAAAACTATAGCTGGGCCTTTTGTATTTGTCCTTCACTAAAACCTGAGTGATGGGTGTAGGCATATGATAAGGTCAGATCTTTTACTCTTTTTTGCTAATAATTCCTCATCTGCTTCCCAAACTCGTTCCAGGTTCCCGTTTCTAATTTCTCTGCAAAAGAGTGTCACCATTCCTGGAAGAGCCCTCTCTGGGTTCAGCGTTTCACAGATGACGTAAAGTGAAGAACACAAATAAAAGACAGAGATTCTTTTGTTATTCCTGGTTTTCACCTATTGGCTGCAAACAATGTTAAAATTGATACGGTCTGAAAAGATGACAGCCTGTGCTTTGTTACCCGTTAAAAAAATTGCAGCATACCTACAGTTTGTTCTTATTTTTATTCTTTAGGCGCCTCAAAACCAGCTGAAAGAATAAACTGTTCACATACATATGAAAACGTCTAAGCAGCACAACAGAGTGCCAGATTGTAATTATAGTCAACATATAGTCTTTCTTAATGATGGAGCTGTGATACTAATAAGTCTGTTAACTTAAACTTGGCCAGTGTTCCTTCCTGGCTAAAAATACACTTTATTAATGGAGTTTTTCCAGGCAAAGCACTTAAAGCACACACATTGTTTAATATTAAGACATATCTTCCTATCACACGCGCACAGTTTTAACTGCTGCAGTGTGTCTAATGAAGTTTAAAGTGTTTTCTCTTATTCCAGTCCAGACTCATTTACCCAGGTCTGCTGCCAGCATAGCTTTGCATGTTTGCGGACACTGTCCCCTCCTCATCTTCCATAGCCTGAATGATAAAGCCTGGGTTTACTTGTAAAGCTGATAAACACCCTGGTGTGATCTCTGAGTCTTGATGCTGTTAGGTAAGGGTAGCCAGATAAGGAAAAGATATCCTGGATTTGATGAAGCTCCCTCATAATTCAGGTCCTGTCAGTGGGAAAACGTGCAGCTGCTAAACGCTCCTAGAGACAAAACTGTTTGTTTTTTTGTTTTTGTTTTTTGGTACAGGGCTGTGAACGCGTGGCCTTGTGGAGTCTCTAGCGACAGGGACAGGTTTCATTATTTTCAGGCCTGGAGGATACAGTTCATTCTGAAGCACAGCAGAGGATTTTAGCTCCTCCTTTTTGTAAATAACTTTGGATTGGTGGGTGGGGCTTCTGTACTCTATGATCACCTGAGATATCACCTTATATCTCTTATGGAAAAGGTCAAGACTTAGTGGAGTATCTTACTTGCTGGAAGAGAGAGTAAGAATATTGAATGAAACTTTCATGGCATTTATCCCTGTAAACACCTCAAACACTGATATTTAACTTAAAGGTATCAAAACAGAAGAAGGATGAAAACATTGGTCTCAGTTTTTGCCTGATGGAGGCGCACTGGCAGAGCTCCTCCTGCTGAAAAGGAAAAGAAGTGAGAAAAGTAGAAGTGATGGGTGGAAAACTGAGGCACCGTTGAAGGAAAAATGAAAAACAGGGTTGAGGGAAGGTACCAAACAAAAAGAAGTCGCAAATAAAAAAGCTTTTTAAACATTTGTCACATGAACACACTGAGGCGGCCGTTTGCTAAATTCCCACACAGGATGTTGATTGATAGAATGAATGACAGATTGATTACCTGTCTGTCTGGGTTGCAGCCTCATCCATTATGGCACGTTGTTAAAATGATAGTGCATTTAGCGTTTATTCAGAAATATGCCGGCGTATCCTCGCCTCCCTCGGGGCACGCTCATTAGCAAGACGTCTTTGAGATCTTCTCTCATCTGGCAGGAAGTGGGGGAGGAAAGGACAAAGCAAGACCAGGCCGATAAACTTAAAGGCGTTCATTGTTCCTTTTCCTCCAAGTTTTTCTGCATCTTTGAAGAGGGAAAAATTTGATGTTTCTCAAACTGAACAGAAGCCCCGAGCCTCTGAGTGCGTCAACTCATTAGGGTAACAACAACAGAAATAAGGCCGAATGGACATCCGCCATCTTTCAGACTCGTTTCTGCAAAAAAAAAAGCTTCAGTTAACTCATCTGATTTTTCAGATAAGCTCTGCATCTCACAGTCAATCGCAGCGAATGAAAGGCGCTGGCAAACAGCCAATCCCAGGCGTTGCGTTAGTTAAAGCAGTAAAATGTCGACTGCATCGCTTTGACTCATCCCAGTTTTGCACCGGCACAACAACAACAAACAAACCTGCACACAGGAAGATCTGTAATGACAAACAATAGGAGGCGGTGGCCGAGAAGATGAAAAGTAATGCGAGGTGGATAAAACTGCAGCTAAAAGACGGAAGACATAAGAGCGTTTGCTAAACTGTAAACAAAGCGCTGCGTGTCAGGCGGAAAAGACCGAAGTACCAAGGACTGAAGCAGAAGATAATGGCCAGGCTTTAGCTGCAGGACACGGTGCTAATTGGAGCTG